CTCCCCAGTCAGTTTCTGCTGGGTTGTTGGAAGTCCCGATGTGATGCTGCTGCCTTTGCTCTCTGTCAGACTAGCCCAGCTGTCTCTGCTGGACGTGGTAAACTGGTTTGACAATACCTTGCTGTCTACCACTTGCCACTTGTTCTTTCGCTCTTGCTTGCTATGTGCTTAATAAACTCATTCATTCACAGCCATCATAGATCATCCTTTGGACCAGTAGAGAACATTCAGTCACGTGATGATGGGGATGAAGGCCGCAGATGGGACTGGCCTCACTGGGACCTTTGGATCAAGAGACAGTAGGTATGGGTTCACGTCCTCACAGGGTCCTTACAGAAAGGAGGAAGAGGCTGGGCAGGTGACCTCTGCCACTGCTGGCTGCCAAGCTGGGGAGAGAGCCACAGGAAGGCGTGCAGGCATCTCTACAAACGAGAAATGACCAGAAAACAGCCCTCCCCGGAGCCTTGAAGGGGCTGGCCCTGCTGCCCTTGGCTCTTGGACCACAGCTCAACAAGGAAGGAAGGAAGGAAGGAAGGAAGGAAGGAAGGAAGGAAGGAAGGAAGGAAGGAAGGAAGGAAAAGGCGGGATGAAGGAAGGAAGGAGGGAGGGAGGGATGAAGGAAGGAAGGAAGGAAGGAAGGAAGGAAGGAAGGATGGAAGGAAGGAAGGAAGGAAGGAAGGCTGGCTAGTCCAGTTAGTAGCATTTGTTCTAGAAGCAGCAGGAAAAACCCGGTCATGTCTGCTCACATATCTGAGCCAGTGAACACTGGGGCCAGGGGCCCTGTAGTCACCGGGACCACATCTCATCCTCAGCCAGTCTCCAGGGTCATCTCCCTGCCTCAGCAGAGCCCTACGTACCTCCCCTGCCTTCTGTACCCTGTAGCCACACACCAGCCAGTGCCTTCCTCTGCCCCTGCCTCTCCCAACCCAGCCCTTCTCTGCACCCAGAGAGGGACCCATTAAGCCCAGCAGGGGTGTCTCTTCTCATTCACCTCACTGTGGCTATGGCCTAGGAGCCTTTCCTGACCTTTGCCTCCCTACCCACCGCCTGCAGCTCACACCTATCCACAGACCTCCCACAGGCTTCCAGAGGGGCTGAAGCCGCTGACTGCCACTACAGCCAGGAAGGCCAGGACTCCAATGTAGTCCAGGGTCACAGCCCTGAGCCCTAGCAGTCTAGGTCACAAGCATGAGTCAGAGAGCACCTGTGAACCAATTTGCAGTGCCTGACTTCACTGAAATGAGTCTCAGGGCTGTGTCTCTGGGTGCTAGGACCGGCCTCTAGGCCCCAGCCATACCCACCAGATGAAGGCAGCTGACGATCTACTTTGGGGTCCTTCTGCTGTTTTAGCCTGACAGACTCTGCCTGCATACACACACACACACACACACACACACACATAGAGCCCAGACCCTTAGCTAACTCCTGCTTGCTCTGGGCCAGCCTAGGTCCTGCACCACCGCCAGTACCCTCATTGCCCACTGTGGGGAAGCCCATGGCCTATACGCTTCCTACTTGACCCTGCCTTTGTGGAAAGTCTCTCTGCATTCAAGACCAAACAAAAGCCTGGCAGCCAGGCCAGCATGGCCCAGCAGTGGGCAGGACTAGAAAATGACCAAAGGCTGATAACACAGCGGTCACTGTGTGGCCAGAGGAGGTGTGACTATGTAGTCCCCAAGCCTCTGCCCCATGGGTCACTACCAGAGGTCTTCCATGCCGCCCAGGAAGGGAAGCAGCACAGCTCTCCCCTGTGTTCACTGCATGCAGTCACTGTGCGTCTTCTCCCCGTGTGAGGCTGGGGACTCCCCATTGCTCACTGTGTCACCCAGTTGGCACAGATTTATTTGGCATGCAGGGAAGCAGGCTGGTACGGGACTCTGGTCAGTTCCACTGCCATCCTGCCAGGCCAGGGTTGTTACCGCTTGGACCAAGCCTGGGCCTCCTCATCCTTGGTAATGTCATGGTCCATGGGAAGAGGCCACGAACTGAGGTGGCAGGGCCAGAGCCCCTTCCGCAGGCTTCCTTCACTGGCCAAGGAACCAGGATGCTCTGAGGACGCAGAGTCACAGTCGCTGGGCAGCCTTAGCTCTCCTGGTAGAGAGCAGGCTGGAGGCTGGTAGACATGGATTGGTGTGTGCAACATCAGATGAGGCCGGGGAGGGCGGGGCTTATAGCCAACAAAGCGCTCTACCTGGAGCACCAATAAATTACTCAGTACAAAAAAGAGGGTGGTAACATCTCTGCCCAGTGAGAATGGACTGTGAGCAGCAACAGGGCTTGGGCCATCATTCTGTCCTCTGGTCAATAAGAGGGGCAGGAAAGGGTGCCTGGAACTCCTGGCTGGGGCCATGCAGCCCACTCTGCCCTCACTGTGGGCAACTTGTCTGTGTTGCCACAGAAGCTAAGTCAAGGCTCTGGAGGTGGGTCTTATCTCTTTCCTCCTGTCGTAGGCTAAGCTGCGCAGGACACCCCATCCCCCGGCCCTCCTCAGCGGTGTTTCCAGAGCAAGGACCAGCAACTACAGCCCAGGGGCCAACCCAGCCTACCTCTTATGGTAAATAAAGCTTTATTGGAAAGGTCAACCCCCCCCCAGAACATCTGCCCTACAAAGAAAGTTGGCACCCTGCCCCGGTATGAAGACAGCAGGACACTGCCAGGCAAGGGCCCCCATCCACAGCTGCACAGCAGGGGTGTATGTGGTGAGCCCAGGCCACTGTGGCCAGATGCAGGGTCTGGACTGGCCTTGGGTAGTCCTCACCCTGCTCACACAGCCGCTCCAGCCAGGCACACTGGGCTCCTGGGGTCACAGAGCTGTATGAGAGTGAAGTGTGCCCCTGTTCTTAATGCAACCACATGGGGCAGGGCACCTCAAGTACTCCCTCAAATTGGCTAAAATCCCACAGACCAGCAGAAGCCTGCATGTTCTAGGACCTCAATCTCAGGCCTCCATGCAAGGGTCATTCACAGGCTGACAGGAAACATCAAGCCAGTCCACCATGTCCTGGCTGTGTGACTTTGACCAAATTGCTTTACCTCTCTGAGCAGTGCTCCTCTCATCTAAAATAAGGGGCAAGTTCAACATCTGCAAGTCAGGGCAGGTGCAGCAGAGAGCCCTGCATGCCCGGTCCAGGGCAAAGTAGTCCCCCACCTCTGCTGCCCCTCTCTCTGGCCTGATGCTGACCCTTCCTCCCAGGGCTCTACTGAGTCTCCACCAACATGCCCATAATCTGTAACTTGGGTCCTGTCCTCCCAGGACTCCAGGGTAGGACACCTTATGAGACAGAGGGCTTGGGGCAGGTTGGGTCCCATCTCCACCCCAAAAATCTAATCAGGGGCTGAATTCTGTGGTCACCCCACACCCCTATAGCTCCATGTCACCTTCACCAACCCACTCCACCCCCAATTCTACAGTGTGTGCTTTTCAGGAAGTTCACGGCTCTGGAATTGGCCTGATAGGGCTAGGGGGACAAATTGGGTGGGGACAATGATGCTGACCTCTGGCCTTGTCTGCAGGCCCTGCCTGATGTCCTCTGAGAGCCTGGGAGCCAGTGCCTCCCAAAAATCTAGAGCCAGTGGCCTATCTGTTGGGCTGTCGCAATTTCTGTCAAAGGGGGAAGCAGTCATAGCTCAGCCTTTGCCAGATGGACAGCTCTGTAAGCCAGCACAGGGGCCTGGCTAGGGAATGCAGGCCAGCAAGAACTGTATCCCGCAGATGGGCAAGTAGCCCCATCAGATTGGACTGGAGCTCAAGGAGACCTGTGCGATCTGTGAGTGCCACCCACAGCCTGCCTCACGAGGAGGCCAGGAATGCTACTTAATCAAGACTGGCTGGGACCTTGCTGGACTGCACCCCACGATTGTCCCGTAGAGCCTGGTGACTTCTGCCCCTTGTGGACCCAGGAATCAGCCAGGTGAGTAAACCAGCTCTGGGAACCAGATTGGAGTGACCTTCCTACCTGGGATCAGAGATTCCCAGTGACTGACAGGTACAGGTGAAGAGCCTGCCCACTGTGGACAGCAGGCTGCAGGCAGAGTCTGGGCAGAGCTCACACAAGTCACTATGAACAGACTCCCTTTCGCCAGGATGGGGGGTGGCAGGAGGGGATCTTTAAAGTGGAGACAGTTGCAGACAAACCAGTTGGTGACCCCAGAACTTCATGTCTCCTTGTACATATAGAGAGAAGCAGGCAAGTTTGGTCTCAGCCCAGGTGCCTGGTATGACATGTGGCTAGGTCTGACCCCAGAGCTCCAATAGCCCTCCACCCACCCTCTGCCCAAAGCCAGGCCGTCTCTGAGGGAAGCAGAGAGGTGAGCAGCTCAAGCCAGAAGCTGAGGTGCCAGTGTTGCCACACAAGATAGTAAGGGCTACACTGGACAGTGAAAAGCTAGGAGGCCTGACCCTGGGGCAGGGAAGGCCAGTCAGGAGACACAGCATGCCACAGCCAGCTTTCCCCAAGGCCTGCCTGCACAGGTGTGTCCTGTCAGGCCTCATGACCCCCTCTTCTGCTGGGCACTGCTTCGGAGAAGACTTCTGACCTTCCCAGTGCCTACACAGCTGGCAAATGACCCACAGCACACAGGACTCACCTCAGCTTGGGCTCTGACAAGAGGGTACCCACACTGCCTGGGACTCTCAAGGCCCAGATCAGCCCTGTATCATTTTGGGCTCCCCCTTAAGCCCACTGACACATCACTATCACCTGTGCTACGTTCACAAGAACCAAATGCATCCCAAAGGAATAGACCCAGCATCTAGCGTGGATGAGGCCTGGGAGCATGAGCCCAGCGCCTGCTCCTTGAGCCCTGGCCAAGACCAGCAGAGGCCAGTCTATCCAGGGGCCTTCTGGGGGAGCTCTCCCTCTCACTGGAGTTAGGAATGCTTGGTATTTGGGGAGCTTCCAGGCTATTCCTGGCAGGAGCAGCAGCCCTTCCCGGGACCCCATCTGCCTCCCGCCCTGCAAAGGGAGGGGTGATACAGGGAGAGGAGGAGTATCCACACTTCCGTTTCCTTTCCAGCTGGGACAGGGCACAGCCACCCTTGAAGGGTCAGCTCTTCCACACAGTCCTGTGGCCAAGCTGCTTAGGTGCCTGGGACAGGAGTCAGCTCTACCTGGGACCACCAGGCCCTGCATGTAACAGCCCCTCAGATCCAGCTGCCCGGAGGCCAACAAGCAGGTCATCCCCCAAGACTGCTGAGGCCACCGCCCTATGTTGTTGTAATGGAAACTTCTCGACTGCTCTGTGAGCACCAGCTCCGGTTCCTGCCCCGTGTGGCTCTGATCCGCAGCAGATCGCAGGACAAGGCAGGTGGGAAAGCACACACAGGAACAGTACAATACCACAGGAGCACAGGTGGGCCAGGCCTTGTGTGAGCATGCGAGTGTGTGTCTGTGTGTGTGTCTGTGTGTCTGTGTGTCTGTGTCTGTGTCTCTGTGTCTGTCTGTCTGCCTGTCTGTGTGTCCCATGTGTGCTCATGAGGAGGGCCCCACAGAGACTCTGACTTCCCAAGAGCCTGGCCCACCTCCATTCCTCAAGGGACAGCCCACAGAAGATCCCCAGCATAACACAGGCAGGGAGGGGAGAAGCCATGACTGCAAAGCTTGATGCCAGTCACTAGTTGAAACTGAGAAAGGACCTGTGTGGGGCAGGCAGGGCGTGTGGGGTACTGAAATTACTGATGTGCCAGCTGCTGCACTTGGCATCCTGTCTACCACCAGGGACACTCAGTGACATATCACAGATGCGGCAGTGTGTGACAGATGGGTGGTAGGCACAACGGTGTGGCCAGTCAGTCTTGAGGGAGAGACCAGGGCATGAGGTAGGACAGCAGATGGAGAGACATGGCATTATGGTCACTGCTGACTCCCAGAGGCTTCAAGACAAAGTGAAGGAAGGAAGGCCTTCGTCAGATCCCAGAAGACATTCTGGAAGGTCTTCAAGCTAAGACTTTGGCAAGATTTAGGATCAGGAAACAGACAGGAGTGCCTAGACCCTCCAGTTCAGGCCCTCAGGGCTGACTTCTGGGGAAAGCCCTTTCTCCCTGGGGCTGTCTGTGTCCAGCAGGACACACACACCACATCCAGCTGCCTGGGCTTCAGGTGCAGCATCCAGTCCTTGCTCTGAGACCTGCTGTGTGTTCATGAGTGTGCATGCCTGAGCATGCACACTTAGGAGTGTGTGAAGTAGTAGCGGGCACACGTTTGTGTGAGCGTGTGAGTGTTGACCTGTGGAGAGTCCATGTATGTATATAAGTATAGCCTTGAGGCTTGCCTGTGCTAGCATGTGAGACTTTACATATAAGTGTGTTCACAGACACACAGAGGCATGTTTGCACACATGTGACTGCCTTATTCACACATGTCTGTGTGCATGGAGGTGTGTTTGTGTGTGTGTGTGTGTGCACCCATATTCCTTTCTGAGGTGGGAATGGGGCTTCCGTTGTCCCTTGTCCCCCAAGTCTGACTTGGCCTCTGTCAAGTGGAGAGTGCTCCCTGGGGCTCACACACCAGTCTAGTATGGCAGAGGGGAAGAGCTCTGGCACACTTAGTGGAAGCAGGCAAGGCTGCTGGTTTCCCCTCCCACCTGCCCCAAGCACAGGCCTGGCCCCAGCAGGGACAGGCCGTAATCTGAGTGTATTTGCTCAGAGGCTGGCTCATGACAGATGGGTGATAAAGGGCAGAAAATAGTTCCAGGACCTGGGGCCTGCAGAGTGTCATAGCCACACCATGATGGCTAGGGGAGGGCCTGGCACCTAGGATTAGGCCCCTTATCCTGGGAAACAGCCCCATGGCTGTCCCCCTTAGTGCTAAGGCTCAGCTCCTCTAACCCAAAGACCAGCAAGGGACAATGAGCTCGTGGGAGTGGGGAATCCAGGCCTAGATACAAGCACCCCTCAACTCACTTTGACCCACAATCCCAACAGTCCCCAAAACCCCCACCACGAGGTGGCCATTAGCAGTAAAGTGGAGATGTGGGAGGCTGCACCTTCCCACCAGCCTGGAGATAAGCTATCCCTCCTCCCGTCCCCGTCCCTCCTCCCGTCCCCCCTCCCCCTCTTCCCTCCGCTTCTGTATTATCTGCTCCCCATGGCTGGCCCCTTCTTGACCCTACCGCAGTAAAACCCAATGTTCTGAGAGGAGAGTGTACTCCCTTCTGAGGTAATTGAGACACACAGAGCAGGGCTGGGCAGACATCATTAATAGGGCCTTGGCCCACACGAAATATTTATGCCTGCCGAGCATCCAGACACAGCCAATCCGTTATCTCCCACGGAAGACAACCTAGAGGCCTCTGGGCCAGCAAGGTAGCCGTTCCCGGAGGGACCCTGAGGCTGTCCTCCTTGGAGTCAGAGCAAGCCCCTTATTCTTACCCACTCTCAGCCCTCCAGGAGAAGGCCCACAGAGAGTCCACAGAAGCCTGGGGCACACAGCAATGTTCAAAAGGGCTCTGGTGCAGAGAACTGGGAGAACCTAGATGAGGTGGAGGAGGAACACTACCACACTTCCCCACCCAGCTGAGGAAGACAGGAGGACCAGCCTGCAGGATTCCCAGGGGTATCTCAGCCTGCAGGAGTCCCAGGGGTATCTCAGCCTGCAGGAGTCCCCAGGGGCATCTCCTTTCTCTCTGGCCTCAATTCCCCACAAGCTAAGAAGGAGGGTCTGGTCCCTGGCTTCCCTGCCCAGGCGCCCAACAGAATCTGCTCCGTGAGCAGAACAGTCACACCTGCAGGCTGCCAAAGGGAGTGGGAGACTGACAAAGGGCATGGCTCTGGGCAGGCAGAACGTCTTAACAACCTAAACACGCATGATGTGATATGGGAAAGAGATGGAATCAGAGACAGAGAGGCAGATAGAGAGACAGACATAGAGATAGAGAGACAAGCAGAAAGACAGAGACACCAAGAGATATGCATATATGCAAAGACAGAGAGAGAGGGAGGGAGGGAGGGAGGGAGGAAGAGAGAGAGAGAGAGAGAGAGAGAGAGAGAGAGAGAGAGAGAGAGAGAGAGAGAAGAAACACAGGGGCCATGCGGGAGGCCCACGCACACAGGGACACACAGAAGACACAGCAGACTATCTAGCAGACTCTCTGAGAGAGAGAGAGAAGAAACACAGGGGCCATGCTGGAGGCCCAGGAGCACAGGGTCATCCAGAAGGCACAGCACACCTTCTAGAAGAGCCTTTCTTGTGGGGGATCTCTGACAGAAGATCCTGCCGTCATCTGCTCCCAGCATCAAGTCTCGGGGCCTCCCATGCAGACAGAGGGCAGCACAGAGGTTCACTGTGGCTAACTGTGTGCACAGAACACTGCAAATAACTGTAATAAACTGCATACTTCCTGATCAGACCATGACAGTGGGTGGCTATAATCTCAGGATATCAGCCCAAAGGAATATTACACAGCCGTCAAAGGTGATAATTATGAAGACTGTGGCTGCAGAGGAAATTGCTGACAGTAAGGCTTTTGAGCTGGCAGGGAGCAGGATTTATCTGCACCCGGAGTTCCACAAAGGAAAGCTCGCACCTACGAGAACGATGGGAGCCAGGAAAGACAGTCCAGTTTCCAGGGAGGCATTCTCTTGTCCTTTTATCTTTATCTCTGTAAGCACTGCTTGTGCAATAAATAACATCTTTCTTATCTTAGGACCATGCTCCAGTAAATGAGGTCTGCAGCTCGAGCCTCGCACCCCAGCTCCCAACCACAGACACAGCATCCAACCAGAGAGAATGAGGAGCTCACTCAGGGCTCACAGCCAGCCAGGGCTGAGACGGTAAGGTTACACTGTGCCTCAGACACAAGCCACCACTGTGAGCAGGGAGGGGCAGGAGTTCAGGAAGGACAGGCAGGATCCCTGTCCTTGCCATCAAGTTGTCCTCCACCCAGGCATTCTGGGAGGGGAGAAGACCAGGGGTTGGGTTGGGGATAGGGTAGTAGCGCCACTTTGAAGCGTTTGGTTTGGCCAAGACACCAGGTTCACACAGTGTGACCAAATTGGGTAGAGGGGATCAAGCTCAGGGCTTTGGAGGGAGGCTCTGCACTGCCCCAGGTCAGGGTCCATGCAAGGACATGCAAGGACAGGGCTTGATGGAGGTCAGACTGAAGAAGTCAGAGGGACAGGGAGGGAAGCTGGACATGGGCAGAGAAGTGGGAGCCATGGGAGGCTAGAGAGCTGGTTAGCTGGAGGAAGAGGGTGTCAGAGCAAGGGGGAGGGTAGAGACAGCACAGGCAAAGGCTGTCATCGCTCAGTCCAGGTCTAATCAGGGAAGAGGCAGGAGAGGGGAGTGACACAGGAAGCAGACATGACGTTCCAAGTAGGAGGTACCCGGACCTCAGACCCTGAGGCTAATGGAGACTGAGCTCAGTGCCAGGCCAAGGGAAGGGCAGTAACAGAAGAGCCTCATCACAGGAGGATATAGGTGAGCAGGGCAGCCTCTCCAGGCTTTGTAGCAGGCTGTGCACAGTCCAGTGCCCCACCAAAAGCCACCTGGAGATGGCCTCCAATGTGCTCTGACCCACAGACTAAAACACAGGTTCACAGGCACTGGTGCCCCATGTTGACCTGGAGTATGGCAGGAAGGTGTCCCCCGGGCATGAGCTGCCTATCTCCATCTGCCAGGCAGCCCGAAATACAGCACGAGTGAAGGTAGAGAGAGGTCTTTTGGGGACAGACCCCTCCCCACCCAGTCAGCTGGCCACAGCCACCATTCAGTTCAGGCCCCCGCCCTGGCTCGGCCCCCACTTCAGGGAGATTGCAGGCTCTGATCCCTAAACCAGGGCCCCTCCCCACCATTCGCCACCCCTCCTCCATGTCCCAGGGCTCCCCTCACAGTCCCTACTGTGGACTGAACAGCAGCCTGGCATCGAAGCAATGCAGAGGAGTTGGAGGGCAGAGGTGCAGTTCCTCATATCTTCCTGAGGCCCCAAGGTGAGGTCTGAGTTGCCTGGCAACCCCTGTCCAAGGGAATGTGACAGACAGAAGCTCAAGATGTCTCAAGCCAGGTCCATGGTGCTGGACAGTTGCTAAGATTAAGTCCTTGCCCTGCATGTTCTCTGGTCACTGATAGTGTTGTCAGGGGTCAGTGTGACTGTGTTCAGGCAGCCATCAGTTGGTGGTGGTTATCCTCAGCACCCTTGGGCTACTCTGGCCATTCCTTCTGACCTGGAGATCTTCCCTCAGAGCCCCTGGATTAGCAGGGGACACAGCCTGGCCTGAAGCATGGGCCTGCCACGCACTGACCTCATCCCTTCCCACAGAGCAGCAGAGTAAGGTCTAGGGCGGGTAGATGGCTGGTCCTGAGGTCTCCCTGACCTATTTTGGTCCTCCACAGTGGGCCATCTGTACAAAGCCCAGTGGAGGCAGGTGGGACCTGCCAGAACTGAGGGTCTCCAGCAGGAGGGACTCATGGCCATTCATTCCCCAACCCTACCCTAGGAGGGTAACAGGAAGTACCCCCCCTCTATCCTGAGACCCAGCCGACCAGATCGTGGGTGCCATGATAATGAGTCACGGAGAACCTCGAGACACGTGCGGTTCAGAGAGCCCTTGGAGGTGGCCGTCCATTGTAAGAGGGACTGGGACCCTGAGGCAAGGGTCCGGGTGGGATGGAGATGTTGGCAGTGTCCATGCAGCTCTGGTAGAGTCTGGTGCCATTTGGAGAGGCCTGTCCCTGTTCCACCTTCCCAGACAGAGCCCCAGTAAACCTAGACTGTGGGGTCATGGGAACAGGCTGCGGTCAGTGGGACGGTGGCCTGCAGGAGAAAACACAGCCACAGTTTCCCTATCACCACTACCCTCGAGGGAGGGGTCCGCTTCCTGCAGGAGCTGGGCATCCGACCTGCAGAGCCAGGTGTGGTGGCGTGGGAGGGGCAGGGGACATTTTGCCAACTCAGTCATCTGTGGTCTCCTTCCCAGACATCACCCACAGGGACACCAAGGCTACTGTCAAGGGTGAGTTCTGGACGAAACTCCATCTTCCCAGGGGGTCCTGGGCCTCCACCCCCACAGGGCAGAACTAGAGGCAGCCTCAGCCCCTCCCCGCCCACATACCCCCAGTCATTCTAGACCCTGACTGCCCTGAAAGGACCCTATTCCCACAGGTCCATTCCCTAGGTCACTGGCATGCAGGACAGCAACACCCCCATGTGGGTGCAGTCTGCCTTAGGTAGGTGGGGCAGGAGTCTATGTCCAATTCGCTCCACAGGACTTATCTAGGCCCCCAACTTACCACCACCATGATGACCAAAGGCATGTCAACAGTCAGGCATCATATATCTTTCTCCATCCCAGCCCTGCCAGCAGGAGGCATGCCTCACAGAGCCTCACTGGGGAGGGTTGGTGTACACCGGCCCGGACTGACCTGCCGTCCTCCCGCCTACAGTGCCCAGCCGGTCAACTTCCCGTGGTGGCCCCCTGCTCCAGCTGGCACCTCGAAATGGCTCCCTATTCTTGTGGCTGACTGTGTGTGTCCTGCTTGGAGCCGTGCTGGGCCTGTACTGTGGCAAAGGGAAGCCTGTCACGGTGGCCCTGGAGGACCTCCGGGCTTGGCTCCGCGTCCTCATCCTGCGTCTGTGGCATGTGGTCCTTGCCTGCTGGCACTGCCTCCTGCAGCTCTGAACCATGGCTGGATAGCAATGTTGCCTTTGGACAGCCCTGGAGGGCAGAGCTCTGGGGGCCCACAGTGACCTTTGGGTTTGCACATGGTTGTGTGCCCAGGCACGGAGGCTAACCCCAGGGCAGAGCCCAGCTGGTCAATGATTCGCAAACCCAGAAGCCCTAGGGGGCTGCTGCCACGGGACAAGTGAGAAACGGGGACATCTCTGGCTTGGCACAGCAGGTACCCTCCCCTGCTCCAGTCAGTACAGGCTGGGGTCTTGGGATCCCAAGATTCTTTATCCATTGTGGCTGGGGACTCCTGTGCTTCTGTCCAGCCCTCCCTCACCTGGATGTCACCATGAGCAGCCTTTTGAGGACGAGTGCCACCCGCATCTGAGGGGCAGCTTGGGAAGGCAAGCCCCAGCTTCCTACTGCTCTGAGGGCCAACCCTTGCCACACTGTCTCTCTGCAGTTCATGGAGCCCTGTGGGTACCAGGATCCCATCCTCTAAGGCCAGGTCTGATTCCCCCTACTAGGATCTATGGTTGCCACTGTAGTGGGGGAGGGGAGGGGACACAGCCCAGTAGTGTGGGAACACAGCCTAGATCCGGACCCACTTGCTCTCAGAACACATATGGTACCTGGGCCCTATTACCAGAGCCTCGACCAAGCCCAAGGCTACCAGGACTACCACCAGCTGCAGGGCCTGTGGCTGTCCCAACCTTGCATAGGCACAGCCTGTCACTTATGTTGCAGGGCCAAGGGAAGCGCATGACAACAAACTTCAGGGCTCCCTAGACCCACATGGAAGGGGAGCCCCGAGCACAGCAAAGAGGCCCACAGTCAGACACCAGGAGGAACCACCAGGGGGAGCGTGTGCCACCCTGGAATAAACATGTGATGAGTGTTTGGGGGCCAGTGTGAGACTTGAGAGCACAGGTAGTTGTTCTCTTAATGTGTCCCCACTACTTATGTGAACGGAAAATATTCTGTATGAAAATACCTGCAGCCTCTTCAGTCCCCAGATCTTTACAGAATGGCTGCTCAGGAATCCCTCCGGGGCCAGTGCACTTGTCTAGACACTGGAGCACCTCCGCTCTACCCTTTACAGCCCATGGGTCCTTGTAACTGTCACTCATGTGAATTTGGGGGACCCACCGTTCCTCCAGGACCACATCCCCCACAAGACTTGCCTGGATTCCCAGCTTACTAGGCTGCTGTATGCCCTCCTCTGGCCCTCAGGGACCCCACATGGTGGTCTCCAGCTACAGAATTTGGGAGGCATAGTGTGGAGGAGACCAGTAGAGAAAGGTTCTGCTTCTAGGAGTGGCCTAGAAAGGACCAGCTGGAGAGCACATTCCCTAAGATCCACCATCACCATGGTTGCTGCCCCCTACACCACCCTAGCCATCCCCAAGACCAATTCCATCTCCCCCCACCCTGGGACAGGGCAGGCTCACTACTGGCCCAAATGCAGATAAGGAAACAGACACAAAGAGATGAGGTCACAGGCCTTAAGGCCATCCCTCCCACCCTACTTTGGGGCAGGGGGTGGATGGACCCTCCAGGAAAGAAGTCGGCCAGCCCATGTTCAGCAGGGGGCTAGGGCTTCCGTCCTGAACCTCAGCCAATGTCCACTACAAAGGCCACAGAAAAATGTGCCCAGCTCTGCAGGGGGTCATAAAACTGTGCCCCAGCTGGTTTCGATTTTTTTTTGGGGGGGGGGGTATTTGTAAGTTTGTTTTTACAGTGCAGGGTTTAAACCCAGGGTTTCACCATGTTAGGAAAGAACACTGAGATAAATTCCCAAACCAGCTGGTTTTGATTTTTTTTTTGGGGGGGGGTATTTGTCAGTTTGTTTTTACAGTGCAAGGATTAAACCCAGGGTTTCACCATGCTAGGCAAGAACTATGAGCTACATTCCCAAACCCCTTTTGTCTCTGAATAAATACTGTTCAAAGATGTACACAAGTCCCATCCTCGTGCGTGGCGGGAAGGGGGTCACATGGGCAACCACAGGCGTCAAACTCCTTAAAATGCACAGGCATGCAGGGCCCTCCTGAAAGCTTCGGGAACTGAGCAGGAGGAGACTATAAATCATAAATGAACAGCTAAAGCTAAGAACAGCAGGGGACCCAGCAAAGACACAGACATAGCTTCTCGGGTGTTCATCTTTATTTAGTTATTTTGACTTGAAAATCAAATACATGAAGACTTAGGACTTGCCACTGTCAGCTTCACCAGGCAGATTGAAACAAGGGTTTCCCAGTGACAAGCTGCAGAGAAAGAGAGGCATCTTGGGGGGGTCAGCTGGGGACTCCTCTGGAGCCTGCTGTCTCTGCTTGCCTCTTGTCATTCATCCAGGGAGGCCCCTGTCCTGGACAGACACGCCAGGCCCATGGCCACAGCCAATAGGTCCTGACAGTGGCTCTTTCCCAGGGACATCTGGGGGACAGGTCTGTGCATCTGTAGCAGATGCAGGGCTCTCTAGGCCTGACCAGCCCCAGACCAACTCCCTGAAATTCTTGAGGCTGCTTCCAAGGACAAGCCCACATCTGGAACAGACCCTGGGTCCCAGAAGCCCCCAGCCTGCCCCATCCTCCTCCAGGTTCCAGATGGCCACAGCCCGAATGGGAATGCAGAGCAGAAAATGAGGGAAGAGTCAACCCTGGGGACACAAGATGAAGGGGTCTGAGGGCTAGACAGGGTCCCATGTCCTGTCGACTATAGTCTGGGGACCTCAGGCTCTGTGGAAGCACTCCTCCAACACTCAGCTTCCCTGCTGGGAACTCAGCCAGGCCTCAAGCCAATGCCCTCAGAGAAGGCTGGAGTGGTGTGGATCCACCTGGCCCTGACAGTCACCCTACCTGCACAGCATGCTGACCATCCCTGCTGGCTCTTACTCCTACGGCCAAGCTGAACACCTCACATGCCCCACAAGTCCCACACCTCTGGGAAGCCAGAGCTTCCCACCTAGAAGCACACCAGCAGCTGGGTGGACAGTGAGCACAGACACAGGTTCACCTTCCCTAGAAGTGAAGGGGCAGCAGTGGGGCACAACTTCAGACTAGGGACAGGAACACTGAATACACTCACTGAGACCTGGGTGGGATGGGCCCTTCCCATGGGGCTGCCTCTTCTGGAACACAGGAATATGCCAGCCAGGGAGCTCAAGGGGAGAAGGGTGGGGCTCTCCTGCAGGGGACCACAGCCAAGCAGCCCCAAGTGTCCTCACAGGGCAGAAGACAGCGCTCAGCCCAGGGTTCCATACTCCTGCCAGGTTCCTCCGCCTGCTGCTGTTGTGGGGAGTGCCTTCTGGGGACCTAGGCTGGAAACACCGTGGGACAGGAAGACAGGGCCAGGGCCAGGGACATAGTGGAGCCTGTGGAAGGGCAGCTACCAGTACCCTCACCTCCCCTGCAGGCACACTGCCATCCACACAACATGCTCGCACGCATGCACATACACGGGCACACAGTCACACAGAGGCATCATATGGACCACATCAACCACGGCCAGAGGATGTCTGAGAGAGGACCTGGCTTACATACAAAGTCAGGAGCGTGCCCCCCCCTGGGTCCCTAGGTCTCTCTATGTGCCGGCGCTATTAGACTCTTCATGGGAACCTGGGTGCTCTGCTCACGGTGGACAGGACTGGGAGCCAGATGCAGGGCTGCCTGGGCCAGCCTGGGTGGGGCCCCAGCCACCCCTCAGCACAGGCCTTCCAGATAGGTCAGAGGCATCATATGGACCACATCAACCACGGCCAGAGGATGTCTGAGAGAGGCCCTGGCTTACATACAAAGTCAGGAGCGTGCCCCCCCCTGGGTCCCTAGGTCTCTCTATGTGCCGGCGCTATTAGACTCTTCATGGGAACCTGGGTGCTCTGCTCACGGTGGACAGGACTGGGAGCCAGATGCAGGGCTGCCTGGGCCAGCCTGGGTGGGGCCCCAGCCACCCCTCAGCACAGGCCTTCCAGATAGGTCAGAGGCATCATATGGACCACATCAACCACGGCCAGAGGATGTCTGAGAGAGGCCCTGGCTTACATACAAAGTCAGGAGCGTGCCCCCCCCTGGGTCCCTAGGTCTCTCTATGTGCCGGCGCTATTAGACTCTTCATGGGAACCTGGGTGCTCTGCTCACGGTGGACAGGACTGGGAGCCAGATGCAGGGCTGCCTGGGCCAGCCTGGGTGGGGCCCCAGCCACCCCTCAGCACAGGCCTTCCAGATAGGTCAGAGGCATCATATGGACCACATCAACCACGGCCAGAGGATGTCTGAGAGAGGCCCTGGCTTACATACAAAGTCAGGAGCGTGCCCCCCCCTGGGTCCCTAGGTCTCTCTATGTGCCGGCGCTATTAGACTCTTCATGGGAACCTGGGTGCTCTGCTCACGGTGGACAGGACTGGGAGCCAGATGCAGGGCTGCCTTGGCCAGCCTGGGTGGGGCCCCAGCCACCCCTCAGCACAGGCCTTCCAGATAGGGGTCTGGGGAGGCTCCCTAGACCCTCACACAGTCTAGATGACGGCGCTTTTCTCCCCGTGGAAGGAGGCACGGGAGGCTGGCCTGGCCAGCAGCAGCTCCTTCTCATGGACCAGGCTGTCCAGCAGGTCCTCCTGGCGGTAGTTGTGGTAGACTTTCAGGAATGCCAGGGTGGTGATGGCCATCCAGGCTAGCCATGAGGCCCAGAGGCCAAACTGTACAAAAGGTAGGGCAGTGTCAGGGACCAGTGGGCTGTCACCCACCGTGCCCTGTACCTATCTATAGCTTTAGCTCTGCAGGAAAGGGTGCAGAGAGGGCGGAGGTGGTTGGGGGACCTGAGAGCCCATGTGAACCCTACCTTTGGCTTCCTCTATGTAGTGATTGTCGTGCCCAATATGCCCCAGGTTTGTGTAAAAGCCAGGCTACTTGGCCATTCTCACTGGTGCCCTGCGGGCCCGGGTAGTGCTCTCTCTTCCCAACCCAGCCCACTCAGCTCTAAGGAGCACCTGTAAATCAGGGAGCCCCTCCAGCCAAGTGGAATAAATTGACCTTTAACTGCTGTTTCCAAACAGTTGAAGGAGAAAAATTTAATCAGCTCCAGGCCTGAACCGCATCAAACTGATTCTCGTTTGAATGTGTTTGTCCTCAGCCTGCACATGCCTCCATCTAATTGGCGCAAATTAGTTCTAAAGCACCTTCCACTAAATTTGCGTGAAGGTGTCTTTGACCATTTCAGTTCATCTGGGAAAAGAACTTTCAGACTTCCCAGGGCTTTGGGCATTGACAAGAGTTCTCGGGCCAACCTGAGCCCCCAGAGACTAGACAGGGCCTAGAAGAAGCTGTGCAGGGTGACGGCCCTATGTATTGTGGGAAGGGACAGGCATCCATGCTCAGCCCCACTCAGTTGCCCCTGGCCTGTATCATATCACCTGTCTGGAGCACAGATGTGGACTTCACTGGACAGTAAAATCTCAAAGTTTTCCCCAGCTCCCTTGACTACTGATGTGTCCCCATAGCCTGGAAGTCACCTCGAAGGCAGGGCAGGGTAGGACAGGGGTCTTCCAGTGGACACTCACCCTCAGACTGCATCGGGTAGCTCAGGGAACAACCCTGACCCTCCATCATTTTCTGAACACAGCTCACTTGGAGTCAGACCAGAATCTAAACTCTGTCCCACTGGCAATGCCAGAGCCCATGCCCTTCCTCTCCCCTCCCAGCCACCCAGCACTTCCTGCATACCAGACCCTGGGCAACTTCCAGCTCCTGCATGCCTGCCCTTGCCTGCTCTCCGTTGCCCCCACAAAAGCCCCGTTCAGCCTCCAAACCCCAGATCTCCAGCCCTGCCCCCAGGAAGTCACCTCACTGCTCCCACAGTCTGCACCTCCCGGGGGGGCCGCACCATGCCCGAGTCTGCCTCCTCCTTTGGTGAAAACTGGAGTCCCAACACCACCACTTCCTTTCCTACCCAAAGCCCCACCTACCTGGGCAATGGCAAATTGACAGTAGAAGGCAGAGTTGTCCACGTTCAGCTCCAAGTTCCTGTCCTGGAGGTCCTTGCAGCTAAACAGCAAGATGCCAAGTGGCTGGTGACTTCTGGGCCTTTCAGCCAGGTGCAGAGAACATCACTCCCAAACAGAGAGGGGACAATCCCCAGGGGGACAGAAGGGAAAGACTGCGGGGACTCCACTGGAGGTCAACTTTGACCCCCTCCCTCAATGGATGGAACAGGACAGGTGTCAAGGAAGGGAAGTTATAGACTTTTCCAACAGACCCTGAGCCCCCCGAGAACAAGGATCAGCCTCAGCTGTCTGGTCACTGCGCCCCTGGTCCCCACTGTCAGTCTGATGCTCTGTTATCACAGGTGCCCTACCCAGGCCCTCAGTCCCCGAGACAGTCTGCATAGCAGCCCTGCACAAGTGTCAGGGAGCAGTGGGCACAGCAGACCCACCAAGCACAGACCAAATCCCACTGCCACACGGTGGCGACAGGGGCTAAAACTAACCAATGATGCAGGCCTTGCCAAGCTCAAAGCCCTACATGATGCCCACTACTTGTCATCCAAACCCCATTGGGGCCAAAGCCCCAGCCCCAATACCCACCCTGGGGCCTTCACCTCTAGCCCACAGCATACAGCAGACCCCAGGAAGCTGTCTGGAACCCTGCCCTCCAATCCCTGGTGACAAGGGAAGACGGATGGAGCTGTGTAACACTGCAGGCTCCTAGAGCAGGGCAAGAGGTGCTGGTCTCAGGGATGGAGCACAGGTGGGGGCACAAGTGGGCAAAGCCTCAGACTCAGGAAAGAAAACATCCTGAGACCCAGACAGTAAGTGGGTCTTCTAGGGAGGCAGCTGGGGGGCAGGGGGGTAGGTCCCAGACGCACCTCTGGGAAAAGGTGCCCTTCTCGGTGATGGTGTCACACCACATGGTGAAGCCCACGCTCACGATGGTGCTGGCGATGAAGACCAGGAAGACCACAAAGGCGCTGACCAGGAGATTCAGGAATGCGTAGAAAAAGGAGCTGTAGCCGTGGCCAAGGGAGAGATTTTAAGGGAGGGAACCACTCAGGACCCCCCAGCAACACTCCCTGACATGGGGGAGGTCAACCTTCTGGGTTTCCTAGTAGGCACCTAGGGCCCCAATGGGACTGGACGGGGCTTCAAAAGCCTGCTTCCCCTTTGTCTGCTTCTGCCCTCATATCCTGACCCTCTAAGCTTCCAGTGCTCTCTCACAGACCCTACCTGGTTTGTTGTTACTGTCACCTTGACACAAGCTAGAGTCACTTGGAAGAGGGAACCTCAAGTAAAGAATTTTCTCCATCAGGCTGGCCTGTGATCATGTCTGTGGGGCATTTTTTTTATTGCTAATTGAGGTAGGAGGGTCCAGCCCACTGTGGTTGGCACCACCCCTATGCAGGTGGGCCTGAGCAGTGTGTGAAAGGTAGCTGGCCATGAGTCCAAGAGCAAACCAGTGAGCAGCCTTCCTCTCCTAACTCCCCTCAGTGGTGGACCTCGACCTGGACGTGTGAGCCAAGTCACCCCCATCCCATCCCCAACTTGCTTTTGGCCACGGAGTCTATAACAGCAACATAAAAGTGAACTAGAACAGATCCAGAGTTTGATCTTTGCTGTTGCTGCCATACCAGGGAGGCAGGGCCAAGCCCAGAACCTAAGACCGCTAGTTCCAAAGCCCAGGAGCCAGCACACACACTGAAAATGCAAGATGTCCTTCCAACACCATCCACTCACACAGTCGACGATGGTAATGGGTTTGTGACCCTCAAATTCATAGGCTGAAATCCTAACCCCCAAAGTAACTGACAGTGCCAGGCCCTCTAAGCCCTATGCAGAGAAGGCTCTAAGCACAGTGAGAACACCCTTCCCCATCCTCCCTGCTGCCTAGGCTCCAGAGGCAGCATAACTCCAGTCCACGCATTAGCCCAGCCCCACCTCCCTACCCAGAGAGAGACTTTTGTCACAGCCTGAGTCATGCACGCCCTCCACACATTAACTAGGGCTGTTTCTTCACAGCGCAGGACCTCCTCTTCCCCCTGGAAACATTAACAGTGGACACCTTGCTCTGTCTTGAGGGGCTGAATCTCTTCTTCAGATCCCTCGCCACACCACCTGCTGCTGTGTAAGTAAAGCTCTTACCTGAAGGACGATTCCACTCAACGCCTTTCTTTCAAACCCCACTTTCCCCTCTTCCTCCCTAAAACCTAACAGTGAATGTATAGCAGGGAGGCCTTTGAGAGATGACTGGGTCAGGGGCAGAGCCCTCATGAGTGGGATTAGTGTCCTTACAAAAGGGAACCAAAAAAAAAAAAGCCGGGCGTGGTGGCACACGCCTTAGATCCCAGCACTCGGGAGGCAGGGACAGGCGGGTCTCTTAGTTCAAGGCCAGTCTGGTCTACATAGCAAGTTCCAGGTCAGCTGGGGCTACAGGGAGACCCTGTCTCAAAAAGACCGAAAAAAAAAGAAAAAAAAAGAAAAAAGAAACCAGGGAGCTCCCACCAACTGAAGGTACCGAAAGCCATCCATGAGCCAGGAAATGCCTGAACCTTGACCTTAGCTATCCGGCCTCCAGAACCGAGGACAGCACACTTCTTTTCTTAGTCACCGAGTCTGGGATATTCTAACACCCTGAACAGGCTAAGACATTAAGGAAGACATTTACCTGAACTACCACGAAGCTGGAACCTGCGTCAGGGACCTGCTCTGATTCATTTAAACCTAGAAGGCCACACTGTGCACGGTTGGCATGGTCCTACATGACCAGGCCTGGAATCAGGAGCCCAGGGGAGCCAGTTCAGGGAGGCCTGCACTGGCCACAGCTCAAACACTCCACAGGGGCAGAGGGGGGTACCACCCACCAGACTCTCGGGGATCACCCAAACTGTCAGAGTTTGGTACCACAATGCAGAATAGTCAATAAAGGAGCTTGCCTGCCTCCAGCCTGTGATGGATCTGATACTGGGTCCAGGCCAGCTGCACTCACAATATAAGCAAAGTGACCTAAAAACTGTTCCGTGGTAGGCAACTAACAGACAAGATTTTCAGAAAACAGTGGTAGGTGTAAGCAGGCAGAGCCATGTGCATACTGTGGGCTCGTTCACCTGTGCATTCATCCACACTGTTCTGAGCATCTATCTGCCAGCCCCACACTGGACTCAGAGGATCAAGATGCAGGAACAGTGCAGTCCCAACCCCTCAAGGCTGACATGCTAAGAGTAAACCCAGGTCACCACCTGACATCTTAGCTTTGTACAGGGCTGCCAGTCAAGGCCACACACTCTTGGGAACAGCTAGACCAACAGTAGAAACCCCCAGGAATGGGAAGCTTGAACCCTATCACTGGGGAGACCTAGGGGAGGGTGAGGACATGAGGCTGCTCTCAAAGGCCTGAGCTGTGACAGGGTAGTCACAGAAGCAAGGGCAGGCAAGGAGTAGTCCCCTGCAACAGCAGTACAACCCAGGGCTCTGAAGACCAGATGTCCGTGGCAGGTGCCTCCACACTGCCTGAGAGCACCCATGTGCACTGTCCACCATCCTAGGCTGACAGTGCTGTGACTGTCCATGGCTCCTCATGGTACATAGGACAGTTCTGGGCCCTGCCCCACCTAACACCCTGCACGAGCTCCTCTGTTAGCTCCTCAGGCCCCTCCCCATTCTTGCCCAGAAGTTGATTCAAGGACCAAGGTAGGGACCTGATGCCCTCTGCTCCCATAAGGACCAGGACAGGGACTCGGTGCCTTCCTCCTCCCAGTATGGACTCGGACAAGGATGCAGTGCCCTCTACTCCAGGCAGGGAAAGGAGAATGGATGAGGAGACTTACTCCTGGTCCTCCGGGAGCTGTTTCAGGCTCACATGCTCTTCCAGGAAGGCCTGCTCCTTCCAGAGAACTCCCTAGGCCCCTCTGGCCAGAGATGGCTACAGGGACACTATGGAGCCCCTAGGAGACCCCACTCTTTCCTTCTCATCCAGCCCAGCTATCTGCTGAATTTGCCCTCCCTAAAATGAACACCTCCTTCCTGCAGGACCTGATGCTGTGACTAAACTAAACCCCACCTAGCCTAGGAGCCCCAGTTAGAATAATGGGATCAGAGCTATTCCACCTCCGAGTCTCCCACAAACCAGGCATCAGGCCCATCCCTGCCCCTTGTCAGCTGCATGACCCTAAGCAGGTCATACCCCGCTGAGCTTCAGTTTCTCCTGAGAATTGGGTCTCCCAGGGGTCACTGTGGAAACTGGGGACGTTCATGCAAGTGAAGGACTGAGAGGATATGGCCTATTATCTCCTGAGTGCTCACTGACCACTCTACACTGTCTCAAGACTGAGAAGGGTCCACTACCCTCCCAGACCCTTAATGAGCTCAGCTGTACCTGTACCCATACCCAAAGCTGGTGGTGTTGCTAGGAACCCGGGATGTAGGAAGTGGGGAACCAGACACCTGGAGGCTGAGGCTAGGCCCACCCACAAAGAGAAAGGGCCTGCCCAGCCCACTGGAACCCTCCTCCCCAGTGGCCCACGAGTAGAGGATAACAGGGCACTCACCCAGGGCCTATGCCCCACAACTCAGACCTAGGCTGGCTGCTCTGCCCTGCCAAGGGGAATGGGGTGGCCAAGGGCAGCTATGGACCAGGTCTCCACAGGCAGAGGCAAGGATATGGGCCTGTCCTTGGTACACAAATCCAGTGAGATGGACCACTGAGGAATGGGGACTTCAGACAGCCACTCCGAGGGCACACATGTCCCTTCACCAGCTGGACAGTCTCCTGCAGCCCTCCCAAGGATCCTGTCCAGCAGCAGTACCATGCATGCCTGGCGATCTCAGCTTCCCGAACAGAGCATTCCCGTGATGCAGCTTTCTGAGGACCGAGCTGACCATGGTGCAGAGAGCAAGGCCAAACAGACCATAATCTAGCATCACATCCTGTCCCTCTCCAGGGGGATGCGGCAGAGTTCTGAAACTTCCAGATGGGGCAGGGAGTGCACAGTCTGCAATTTCTGAACAGCTAGAGCCCCTTCAGGGAAGGCCTTCTGGTAGCCCATGTCCCTGTAGTAAGCAGACCTGAGACAAACAGCAGCTCTGGGCCCAAACACCCCTTCTTGCCCCGAGGATACTCACAGCACAAATGTGGACAGCCAGAAAACCTGATTTCCTGCAGACTCCAGACACTCCAACCACACCATAAAGCTGGCATGAACAGCTCTTCCCATGCCTGGATCAGGATGCTCCCCACAAGGTAGGAGAAGTCCACCGAGCTGGTCAGCAGTCTCTGGCTCTTCTCTCCACTCTGGTCATTTTTGATAAAACCTGCTGGGTCCTCCAGATGTGCTCAAAGCTAAACCTGAATCATTTCCTGAGTTTATAAACCACCTTCCTGTCCCTGAAAGCATACACTAAGGGCCAGCCAGACAGGACCATAGGTGGAAGGAGAAGCACAGCACACACAGGGTTAACCCGTCTTCCTCTCACTTCGTCTCAGGGTGCCCAGCCTCAGATGTGCTATCTCCATGGCAACAGCTATCCTGGGAAGGCCTGGGAGCAATTTGAAGGCTGAGCGACAGGTGTGAGCAGGCAGATGGGTTGTGTTAAGTCAATGCTCCCTAGTCCATCACTCACACACTGGTACCAACCTCAGCTCAGCTCAGAGGGCTGCTCTGGAGCAAAGCCCTAGGCACATGGCTCACCCAGGCCCTCCCATTTCCCTGTGGACATCCCCTTGAAGATTCAGGTGCCAGGAATCCAGCCTGTTCATTCATTCACTGGAATGCTGCCCTGGACTCTGTCCCTCTGTCCCTATAAGGCCTGAGCAGCCTGAACCTGCTTAGCACAGCAGACATACCCTATATAAGGAGAAGCTGGCTCTTCTGACATAGCATAAGGTCCATAAGCTTAGTGCCAACCAAGAGAGTCCCTGAGCAGGCCAAAGGGCAGTGCTCTGCCTTGGCACTGCTGGAAAGGCATCTCCAATAGCAACCTTTGGACGGGTTGCTAGTCTCGGAATCAGAGCACGTGCTGACAATAACTGGTCAGCCCCTGAATCCAGGACCCAACAAGCTGGTATCCTCCACAGCTACATGTCCAGCAGACCTGCAAGGCCCTTTACATCATATGAGCTCACTGTAAATGCCCTCTTTGCTTTCCTAAATCCCCATGACCTACGACTTGCTTACCATGTCTACACAACCTAACCAGCAATTGCACTGCACTGAGCCCCTTGCCCACTGCTGGCCTCTGTAGACCCAACCTTCCCAGGTGGCCAGAACTACCTGGCACAGTGAGGGTTGACTTCTTCACCAGGTCCTGAGTCTGAAAATATATGAGGGCCAGCTGTGTGGCCACAAAAATGGTAAAACTCATGGTCCAGACACCTCTGTCCTTCATTGTGCGATGACTCCTATACCCCAGGTCCCATGCTTGGCTTGAGGACACAGACTAAGAAGATGCACCTGCCCTGGGCTCATCCCACAGCCCAGGATGACTCACCAGAGCTTGGCCCAAGCCCACAAACTAGACTCTGGTAAGCACAGTTGGCTGTCAGCACCGTTGGCTGACAGCTACCTGCATTGAACAGGGGACAGGGCAAGGGTAGCAGACAGCCAGCCCTGTGGCCCTTGCCAACAACACCAAGTAATCAAGCAGGATGATCCCTAGAGACATCCTTAGAGAAGACAAGCCTGGATAGAGGCCATTTGTGATAGGATGGGTGAGCCCCAAGAACTGGAGCAGAGGGACAGGGACCTCCAACTGCTCCACCGTGGAAAGCATGAATTGCCCAGACCTTGTCTCTGGTGCAGTCAGGTCCATAGTAGTCCTCCTGGACGTGCCATGACATACCAAGTCCTCTATAGTTTCCAAGTCTCATGGTAGGCTTCAGCCAGCATGTACCCAGAGGTGAGAGAGCTGCTTGCACCTCAGCCTGTACCACTCCTCAGGAGCACAAGAACAACAAAGGAAGCTTGGGCGGCTGGCAACTCCAGGCCTCAGTTTTCCATCTTTAAGATGGGCTTTAAGTGATGGCCACCTTATTGGGCAGATGGACACCTACACATGACAAAGGACAAAGAAGCTGGTGTCTCTGGGTTTGCTGCCTAACCAGTGCCGAACAGGCTGCTATGTGTCCAAGATTCCCACCTTGCAAGCTCTGGTGCTCTTTACCTCCTCACCCTGTGCCCCAGCCTAGCCTCTGGATCCCCCACCCCACCCCCACGCACACTGAAATCTCCTGTCCACACAGCTGGGTCCTATCTAGAGAGCTCCCTCAGGTTGGCCTGGCTAGACCATGAGCACTGTGAGGCCACCTCTCTTCCAGGGACACCAAGAAGGTCAGAGCATGTGCGTGAGCAATAACCAACCGATGGCCCTATCTGCCCAGCACCCCAGACAACTGGGACTTCAGGCCCTGTAGTTGCCTCTGGCCACTCCATGTCCTCGTGCAGGCTTGTCTCCTGCACAGAAGTCAGGGTGCTTCCATACGCCCTGACCTGCACTCAGAGCCCTGACTGAGGTGACTCCCAGTTTGGTGGCATTAGTGTGGATGAGCTCTCAAGCTCATCTGGACACTGAGGGACTGATGGCAGAGAAGTCCCAAGGAAGGGCAGGATACTGCCTTAGGGCCGATGGGCTCACCCTAGAGCAAGTCCCAACCTCACAGCCCAGAGTTTGGCCCATACCACTTGGAGGCCTCTTGGGACTGACCTGGTTTACCACAGAACTCCCATCCCAAGCCTTAACACGATGAGTTGAACTGTATCTCCCCAAAATCCACATCCAAGTCCTACCCTTAGTATCTCTAAACATGGCTGTCTGAACTGCCCTCATGTGAAGGTGCGAAGGAACCAGACAAGAGGCCATTCAAGGACACAGGTGTAGACTGGAGTGATCCTGCCCCAAGCCAAGAAACATGAGGAGAGTTTGGGCTACCAGGGTGGAAGAGATATAGGAAGGACCCTCCCAGGGACCAACTCCGAGGATACCATGATTCTGGACTTCCAGCCTCTGGTACTGTGAAAGTGTAATTGTTTGTTTCAAGGTCCTCGTTTGCGGTACTTTGTTAGAGAAGCCCCAGGACACTCACACCTGGAGTCCTCAGGTTCAAACCCCTCCTCCTGGTTCCACAGCCCTGCTGACCCTCTCTGCTCCCAGGGTCCCTATTCACCTCCCCCCTGTGGACTCTCTTTCCATGCCAAAGCCAAACTGAGAGCTCTTGGGGTGCTCTAGCAGGAGTCCCCATTATCCCACCTCCCACAACCTTTACATCCTCAGAACCCCTTGTTCACTTCCCACCTCCCTGCAAGGGGTGAGGGGCTATTAAAAACATGGGTAGAAGGCCAGGTGTGGTGGCACACACCTTTAATCCCAGCACTCGGGAGGCAGAGGCAGGTGGATCTCTGTGAGTTTGAAGCCAGCCTGGTCCAGGACATAGTGAATCCAGGACAGCTGGGGCTACAGGAAGACCCTGTCTCAAAAAACCCAAAAAAAAAAAAAAAAGAAAGAAAGAAAAGAAAACATGGGTAGGGTGGGGCAGAGGTGGGTAAAGGGTTGGATCTGGGAGTACTCTCCCCTCCCTGAAGGGGCAATACCACTCCAGGGTCCAGCAATTCTGGCCCACTGAGAGCATGGGCTCTTGGTTGCCACTGACTGAGACCCCAGTGAACTGCGTCTCACTGCTCCAGTGGGGTGACAAAGCAGGAAAAGGTGAAGAGGAAAACAGAGGGACCGGGATCACAGAGCGCACACACACACACACACACACACACACACACTGCATCACTCCAGTCAAGGCCTGAGAGTCAGGGGAGGAAATCAAGGGGCTCCCCCTAAATACCCCCTGTCATCCTGTCCCCAAATGAGGGGGCAGATACAAGAGTGTCCCTTCTTCCCAAAGCCTGATCCCTTCTCCCATCCACGGCGGGGGGGGGGGGGGGGGGGGGAAGCAGGCCCAAAACTGTTGGGAGCCATCCCAGGTCCCAGCTGAGCCAGCAGAGGGCCCAGGCCTGTGACCATGACAGTGCAACATCTGCACCTCAAGGGGTCAGGGCCCCAGAAGCTGGACAGTGCACTCCTGGAGGAAAAGGGGGCCGTACATGGAGGAAGGACTTCCTAATGGCCTCTGTGCCTGTGTGTAGACAAAGGGCAGTCTCTCTGGAGGCGGTGAGGCCTCTGCAGCAGAACATGGAGGGGCTTAGGCCTCTGGGACAGGAGGGCCTGGGGCAACCGGCGCCACGTGAGTGCCGCATGTGTCTGTGCAGGGCTGTTGAGAGTCCCCCACTTACCCCTCGTGTCCCTTGCAGAGGAAGAAGAGCGTGCGCCAGGCGTGCGCAGCGGCCAGCAGCAGCGACAGGAGGCTGGCGAGCAGGCTGAAGCGGCAGGCGGCCGGCGGGCCCCACTCCTGCACGGTGAAGCGCTCGCGGCCCTGCACCGTCATGTTGGCGCTCAGCCACATGCCCTCGGTGAAGAGCAGGCAGCGGCCGCGGAAATCGTGGCCGTTCTCGGACAGGGGAACCACCACCACGAAGCTGAACAGGAAGGCCAGAAAGTAGCAGACGCACTGCGCAAAGAGGAAATTGTTGAGCGCCATGGCCCGGCCCGGGAGAGAGGGGCAGGGGCGCGGGCCGCGGACCGGGGACGGGACCACCGGGCGGGGGGCCGGGAGCGGGGCTTGGGAGTCACCGGCGCCGCGCAGGCCTGGCCCGAGCCGCGTGGGAGGCTGCGCAGTGGCTGCGCCCGCAGGTCTAGCGCGCTGCGCGCAGACGCGTGCGCATCGGCCGGGCTCCGGGCGCGCCTGCGGTCAGAACCGCGGACAGCTCCCGCCGCCGGGCGCAGCTGTGGTCAGCACCGCGGACAGCTCCCGCGGCCGCAGGGTTACCTGGATGCACACCACGCTGGACCAGGCCGTCCTGCATTGATGGAGATGCTCCACAGAAACCAGGCAGGGCCAGTTTGTGGAGACCTGAGTCTGCTACTAAGGGTATCATCGGCTAGCAGCTAGGGAAGAGAAGGATAGAGATGAATTTGTAGTCCAGGCTGGACAATCCAGGGTACAGAGGAAGAGGACAGAGAGTGGGGGTGGGTTGGGGGGGTGTCCCTTGGACAGAGTGGCGTGGCCTGTGAGCGTTTGTTCCCTGGGAGCCATGCCCTCAGCCTGACACAGTAGGTCCTTCCAGTCCGCGTTTGTAAGATAAATAATGGATGTCCGTGGCACCTCATTAAGACGTCTTTGCTGAGATGAAACTCCTGGCACATTAATTAACAGAACTAATGCTTTTTCTAGTTTGCCTTAAGACTAAGTCACAAGTTAGTCCAATTCCCAGAGCGAACAAGCCCTTGAGCTGCTTCTTTTGGATGAAAATTACGTCAGCATTTTTGCTGCAAGCACTAAAGACTTCTGTGTTCTTGCTGAAGTATATATATTTTTTTTATTTCAGCAAGAAGTGTGTATAATGAAAAAATATCAAGTCTTCTCCTCTTCCCCTGACCCTGTCACACCATCAGAGTGACATTTCCACAATCGGATGTCTAATTCTCTAGACATTTTACACAATTTACAAAACGGCTTCACCTCATATACCTACGTCTACAGATCATTCATTCATTCAGCAGTGCCACGGACATCATTCCCTGTCTGCACAAACAGGTTATGGTTTCCTCTTAGTAGCCATGCAGCATTCCACAATATGTACATATAACTGTCTCCCTATGGGGGCATAATATCTCCAGGCTTTTAAGTTTCAAACTATATTGTTTAGTATCCTAGTGTCTGTGTGCTCCTGCAGACCACACACAGATCTCTAGGAAACTGCCCATCTTGCAAACCCTTCTCCAAACAAGAATTTCAATGTGATCAGTTTTAGATGGAGCAGAGCTCATCAATGCCTAAGCTGTTTTGTTTTTCACCAGGAGGTCAAATCTCTCTCCTTACTCTCATCACCATTTGTCACCTGTCTTCTGCAAATGGAAAATTTGTTTTGCATTCCCTTGACTATGTTCGTGGAAGGCCGTGTCTGCAGCAACTACTCTTTCCTCAAAGAATTCACCCAAGTTTCTGCTGCCACGGAGTCCTTCAAACAGAAGGGATCACTCAGGACATTCAACCAGCCCCAGCCCAGAAAAGTGTGAAAATCCAACTCATTCATCAGCCCTGGTTCGACTGATTTGAACAGCTCCCTGGGGATGGGGAGTGTATAGTGTAGCTTTGGCGAAAGTGAAAAAGATCCTGACAATTAACAGAGAAACCGGTGAAGTCAGAGGGGTGACTGAATATCACCATTTGAAAAGGTACTCCTGGGCCAGGTATGGTAGAGCACACTTTTAATCCCAGCACCTGAGAGGCAGAGGTATGCAGATCTCTGTGAGTTCCAGGCCAGCTGGAGCTACAGGGAGACCCTGTCTCAAAAAGACCAAAAATGTCACTCCTACATATGAGTTCCCCCTGATCTTTAAAAAAAATCAGAGATTGCCTTTGATATTTGTATTAGCCAAGACTCTCCAGAGAAAGAGTCAATAGGATATGTGTGTGTGTGTGTGTGTGTGTGTGTGTGTGTGTGTGTAATGGGATGTCAATATCCTATTTCTATGGAGAGAAAAAGAGAGGGAGGGGAGGAGAGAGAGGCACTGTTTTAGAAATTGGGTACATAATGATAGAGACTGGCAAGTCCAAATTTGCAGGGTTGATTGGAGAGCCAGGAGGGAGCTGATGCTTTGGTTCAAGTTCAAGGGCTTCTGCTGCACAAGCCCCCCCACTGCCCCAAGGAGGTCAGGCTTTGTTCTATCCAGATCTTTAACTGATAGAATGGGTACAGTGAGGCCCACTCACTTTATGGAGGGAAACCAGCTTACTCAACTGAGTTAAATATTTATCTCATCCAAAAATATTCCCACAGGAACTTCCAGAATAATGTTTAACCATTTATCTGTGCTCCTTGTCCAACTAAGTTAACCCATAAAATGAACCATTTTATTATTGAAATAATTTCAATCTATAGAAAATATGAAAAACTTCACAATTTGTTTTTAAATGCCAACATTACAGAAATGGAAAAACCTTATCAACATTGTGAGGGAAAGAAATCGCACTCACAAATATTGATGCCAGGGCTGGAGAGATGGCTCAGCAGTTAAGAACACTGGTTGTTCTTGCAGAAGACCCAAGTTCGAATCCCAGCACCCACATGGCAGCTGACAACTGTCCGTAACTCCAGTCCCAGGGGATCCAACAGCCTCTTCTGACCTCCTCGGGCATTGCACGACATGGGTGCACTTACCTACATGCAGGCAATACACACATATACATAAAATAAAAATAATAAATAAAAATTTTAAAAGTGATAGGTAGAAAAACAAATATTGATGCCAACTTTTTAAATAATAGTACATTGAACCCAATGGATTAATAAGAAAATATGAATAAATATAATTCATCCCATAAATATGAAAGGAGCTTAGCTTCAGGAAATTTATCAACAAATAAAGGGAGATTATATTTTTCTTATGTCAAGGCATAGCTAAAAGGCATTTTGTACTATTAAGTAACCCTTTCTGGTTTTTTAACTCTGTGTAAAACCGGAAGAAAACTATAGAAAAGAATATGATAGAGTCTACCTTTAAGACATCAAAAGTTTGTACTTGTTTAGATCAAAATCAAGACAGGAAGCTCACTGTCACAGTTACTGTTGACTGTTTGGAGTCTTCCTAATGAACAGAGACAAGAAGATCCACAGCGTCTCCATGGAAACAAGTGAAATTATCTCTATTGGAGGATAATACGACTTTATACTAAACACTCAAGCTGCTCTATCAGAATAATTAGAATTTGTAAGAAGATTTTGTAAGATGCTTGGATACAAGGCAAACATACGAAATTCAATAGCCCTTCTCTAAAGGAACAAGTTGGTCTTGTTTCCTGGGAAACAGTCTGAGGTTTACAAGCAGCAGCAGTGCGGTGGCACGTGGTGCAGACCTGGCCAGAGGACTCGATTGGGAGGCAGTTGTAACAGGCATATGTGGGCGCTGCACTATCTTTTCTCCTGGCCCTGGCTGTTCTCTAACCAGTGGTTCTGAGTCTGAAGTTGACTTAGGCTCAGAAGCTAGGCAAGGGATCACGATGTTTAACTGGGACGGGGGTGTTCTTGGGGTCATGCTCTTCCAATGAAAGAAAAGTAAGAGCAGCAGTATCCATGTCTTCTCTGGAGAATGCTGCTATCCAGACCATCTCTGCTGTACCCTGTGTTGTTCCCCTACTTCCCCCTTTGACTTGCCCGCTCCTTGTGGTACCTGAGCCCACCTTGCCTGTGAGGAGCAGATGCTCCCACTCTGCACCTACCGGAGGCACCATTGGGCTGCTCCGTGATGCAGCTGTCTCTCCCTGGTACAGTCACACAGCTCTGGTAAATGGAGTCTCTACAGCCACCCTCTTGGGACACAGGCCTCAGGTGGGTGTTTGGAACACCACAGCACACCCATCCGTGTGCCTGAGCCCTTGGTCCCCCTTTCCCAGTCTGCTTTGGTCATTTTGGCATTTTCACCATTCTTAGGGTAGACTCTGTTTTCCAAACTTCCTAGAGACAGTAAGTGATATGCATTTCTTTGTGCTGCTGAGGCAAATTACCCCAGACCCAGGAGCTTGAACAGAACAAACCTATCCTCTGACACTTCTGGGGGCACAGAATCTAAACTCAGTATATGCCTTCCTTATAGGGCTCCCAGGGGAGGGTCTTCCTCACCTTTCCAAGTTTCTAGATGCTTCTGAAGTCCTTGGTTCCCAACCCTATAGCTCCATCCTCGAAAGTCAGTGGTGACTGCTCAGGTTCCTCTACGGTTCCACCAGGCAGGTGAAAAGGCAACCTGTACTGACATTAGGCCCACCAGGATGCATCCTAGTCTCAAGGTCCTTAGATTCCTTGTGGAAATAGGCAAGTGTTCTACTACTGAGCTCTACCCAGAGCCCTTTCAGAGCCTCTGTCACATCTACAGGGTCCCTCATAAGGTTTAGACATGTGTTAAAGACTTTGTTCTGGTAGATTCAACTAGTGAGAGGTATTTTGGAACACTGTCCTCTGGGTCACCAGGATGCATCCTAGTCTCAAGGTCCTTAGCTTCCTTGTGGAAATAGGCAAGTGTTTTACTACTGAGCTCTACCCAGAGCCCTTTCAGAGCCTCTGTCACATCTACAGGGTCCCTCATAAGGTTTAGACATGTGTTAAAGACTTTGTTCTGGTAGATTCAACTAGTGAGAGGTATTTTGGAACACTGTCCTCTGGGTATGACATGGCCATTGCCATCTTGAATCCAACCAGTTGTAGTCACCCACACAAGACCCTTACAAGATGGAGTGACTAACATTTGCTCATGGAAGGTAGAGAAAGCTCATGGGCTTGGTGGGCTCAAAGTCCTCTACCCTCCCTGAGGATATATAAGTGGTTGACGATTGCTGGGGGAGGAAGATTCCTCCCGGGTGTAGCTGCCCATAAGTTGTCCATACTCCTGTAAGTAACCCCAATTAAACTCATTGGTTCATCAAGCTAGACTTGGGCTGAATTGTCTCTTTGGTCTGTTGTTGCCCTCTCTGTCTGCGGTGACTAGAAATAAACTCCCCAGGAAAACTCACACAACATGACACTGAACAGGAACCTAACAGACCCAAATAT